ATATATATATATATATATATATATATATATATATATATATATAAAACTTCTCTCACCACTTCCTGAGATGTGCCAAGCCAAGATAAAGGAGTGATTTCTGAGAACACACACACACACACACACACACACACACACACACACACACGGCAACAATCCCTTAGAATTCTGGTGAATAGACACTTGCATAAACGTACTTTCTGAAAGTGCAGCCTGGCTTGGGAATTTCATTCTGTGTTGACTGAGTTTAATATTCATTCGGCACAGTGGCTTCCATCTGTACTTTCTAAATAATCTATAATGCTGCAGTCAAAAAGCCCTCGCATAACTTAAAATCTATATTAAATTATTAATAAATACTTCTCTGAGGGGTTCTTATAATTTATAATATAACTGTAAGCCATACACTTGTTCCTTAATTATAGGCTTAAACCTAGAGGAGAGTGTTATTCTGTAAATTTCATATTTCAAAAATTATTTTTTACCATAAAAACATTCCTAGTAAAAACTATTTAAATTATCGCTGACACCAAAAGAAGATTAGACATAAGTTAAGATGAATAAAAATGAATTTTTAATGGTGTTAAATTATCCTTTTGAGTGAAGTAAAAGCTGAATTAGTTTAGAAAGTACACTGTGCACCTCAGCACCTTCAGGAGTGAGTGTCAGGTGAGCAAGAATATTGCCTGCTGTGAGAATGAGTGGAAATAGAATGGCCTTAAGGGTCACTTCAGCTGTGTGTTTCCAGCAAGCTCCAGCCTTTATCTCCATGCCCCATATAATCCTTAGTTTGATTCTATTCATAACTCATTCTCTACCTTTTAGTGCAGTGCTTGCTGCAAAGATTATTCAGTTGTCTGTATCTAGGGTTCACTGTATCTTCACAGGCATCATTTAATACACCTTTCTTAACTATAGACTTTGGTTCATTATATTACTGGAGGAAGAGTCATGTAGGTTATGAAAATGTTGGAAATATCTAATATAGAATCTGTGCTTTTTTGTGATATAGGCATGTGCCTGTGTAGTTTAAGGATTTATTTTAGCTAGAAATGTAATGTCAGGTACAGACTACGATATCTATCTGTCTGTTTGTATGTCTGTCTATCTCTATGATGTCAGCATTGGGCTTAATTTTTGCTTTGACTTTCTTCATTGTTTAAAAATAATCTCAAGAGCAGAGCCAAATGTGATGACAGACTAGCATCCCTTTAGTGACACTGAGTTTATATACTGACTCTGGTAGTGATTCTGTTCTTGTATTTTTGCTGCCCCACCCTCCAAATGCTCAAGGCTATTTGCTTTTTGCATATCTTTGTGAACTATTTTTCAGCTTTTATGCAAATACCTTGTGGAAAACCAGTCATCCACTTAATTGTCCAGTGTACTGACTAGGTAAATATTAAATGACCCTCACTCAAAAAGAATAGAATTTAAGAGAATTCCAAGAAACATTTGAAATTCAATTTTCTGTCATCAGTACATTTTTAATATCTTGCCAGTCCACTTAAATTTTTTCCAGCAAAACATATATTCAATTAGGTTAGGCTACTAAACTATGTAAATGAGGCTTCTGGTTCCCTTTCTCACAGCATGGGGTAATGAGTGTGCTCAGTTCAGCTTCAGAGTGTACATATGGAAGTCTCACACTCACATTCCATAGGCATTGTGCAGAAACCCAGAGGAGGCATCTTCAAAGAGAAATAGAAGGATGGATGTGTGTTTGGAAGGAGCCAGATGCTGTGCCCCTTCCTCAGCAGAGGGCAGAGACAGTAACACAATTGGCTGTGGAGTTTCTATACTGTGTGCACATTTAGTACCCAGGACATCATCCTATCCATCACAGGTCTAGACATCCTGCAAATGCCATGCTTGTGGTCTTTCTCTTATTCTACTGTGCCCAGTAGACTATCTCAGATTTTTTTGGGGGGATCATGAAATCCCACACTCACCTTTCCCGTATCATTTGTTTTTGTTGTTGTTTTTTGTTTGCTTGCTTTTGGTTTGTTTTACTTTTAAAACTTCATTTTAACCCATAATATTCTAAAAAGGATTTCCATAAGGCTTTGCTTATGAGCATTTTAGATAAGAATCTAACTAGAAAAAATAACCTTCCTATCAGGAAGCTTTAGCCTTAGAAAGATGGTTAAGTCTTTTGAGATGTTTTTACTAAGCATGAAAAATACCCACATTAGAAGTGACTGGATGGTTTTCAATTCACATCAACAACAGCAAGAATTGCCAAAAGGAAGAACACAAGGAAACAAAAAGGACAGAAGAAAAAAAACAACATAGACTTCATACTAAAAAAATAGGAGGCTGTTCTACACCTTACAGCATTAAGTGAAGAAAAATGAAAATGAAATTTGGTCAGTATGCTGTATGTCAGTATTATTGGTCAATATGAATCATGATTATAGCGTCATGTAAACTTTAATCATTGTTCTCGTGAGTCTGTGAGTACCTTACTCAAATACAGTGGAACTTAATTCTACTTTCTGTGTGTAAAATTTCTATGATTTAGTTTTAGATATAGAATCTGATAAAATAGTGGCAATATTCTCTCTTCTTACAGTTGACACTTTTAAAGAAAACTGATAATGCATCTCTCTTTAAGACACCTTTTACGAAAATACAGAAAAATATTGGGGGCTAGCTGGCTTAATTTTATTTAAAAGAAGTTCAGTTTCTGAGGATTAGCATGTTTCACAGATTAAATTATTTGAAGACTTTTATGTAGTGATAAACAGAAATGATGCCGTATTTTAGCACACTTGTTTTGGAACTTGAGATGACTGTAGGCAGTTTCACAGTTAGTTTGTTAGTGTTTGAAATGAGCTGATACATTTTATACAGCATTCATATAGCAAGCACAACTTGGTGAGTTTGTTTTCATATGTTGCTGCATTGAATTTCTAGCGTCCACTTCCTGGTGTGCGTGATGAGTTTTCCTAAAGCAGTAGTGCAGGTATTTTTTTAAAAACAGTATTATTTTTGATATCCTTAAAAATTCAGTCTTTCCTCCTCAGGCTGAAAAGACTAGTCACATTAATTAAATCAGTAGTATGTGTTGTATGCAGATACTGAGAAATGAAGTTAGAGTCATAGTAATGTTGACTCCATATGCTCGTTCTAGAATTCTACCAAATATCTGGCTGGGTAGCTGCCCCCGCCAGCTGGAACATGTGACCATCAAGATGAAGCACGAACTGGGAATTACAGCTGTCATGAATTTCCAGACAGAATGGGATATCATACAGAATTCTTCAGGCTGTAACCGCTACCCCGAACCCATGACTCCAGACACCATGATGAAGCTGTACAAGGAAGAAGGCTTGGCCTACATCTGGATGCCCACGCCAGACATGAGTACTGAGGGTGAGGCTAAAAGTCCTCTGTGTCTTCACTGAACTTGTTTCAGAGACACTCGTTTGTCTGTCTTTCAGTCATCTATAACTGCATGTCTTAAACATGCATGATAAAATGGAATTAATATGAGGATTTAAGTTTAATGTCTTTAGACACTTTGACAGAATTCTGTTTAATGTAGTTTCTTTAACTTTTTCATATCCTAAATGTATTTTTAATTGTATATGTACTGTATGGTGGCCTTAGGCTGGTGGCTGGTAACATGGAGCATACAGTCCCTGAGGTATGATAAGTGTTAATGGAATTAATGAAAATAGGAATTAAAAGCATGATGGATTAGTTATAAAGACACACAGATATTTTGGGGATTTGTGTAGATAATCTTTAAAGGTCTTTGGAGGAAGTAGTGTTTGAGGTAATGTCTGAGCAGTAAACAGGGAAAAAGGCAAGATGGAAGAGAATGGCAGGGGGAGCAATTTAGAAGAATCCTTACACAAGGAAAGGACTGGCATGCTGTAGGAACTGAAACACTAACATGGCTGAGGAACTGAGGATATGAAAGTACCACCAGGACTTGGGCTGCAGTAAGAATGTAACACTGTCAGAGTAGCTACAGCAAGGGAAAGGATGAGGAGCTGGGAAAAGTGAAGGTTCCTTTTGATTTAGTGTTTTCATTAAAACCTTCTTCCACTGGCGTGGACAGCTTGGAGCTGGATCTGGGAGTCTAGCGACGTGGATGCAGTGAAGTGGGTGATACTGTGAAAGGGAGGCATGGCGGCTGTGGGGAGCATAAAGGGAGTTGACATGGACTGGAAGCAGCCTTTATATACGGGTTATCATGGTTGGGTGTTGCTGGGGAAATCATTTTGACATGACAAGTAAGTGGCAGTAAGACAAGTGAAAAACCAATTACAGTGCCCAGAAGAGTGGACAATGAGTGATGCAGTGTGTTCTAGGGATTATGGCTTCCTTCTGATGAGGGCAGATTAGGCCAGCTACGTGAATTCCATGGCAGTTGGAGTGGGTCTGGCTTGGACAGGGAGATGTGAGAAAAGGAAGGGCAATGTGTGTGCAAGGAGCATAGACAAAGGCACAGAAGCTTGGGGTTCTGAAAGAGCCATATATCAATCATATAGACAGTTGCTGAAAAGTAGGGGTAACTTTTCGGGTAAGAGAATAATATCCCTACAACAGTATTAATAGTATGTCAGAAGGGGGCAGCAGAGAGCTGTAGAGAGTGCATATCATGTTTGGGGAGTTTGGCAATTTGCTCTTCTGGGTAAAGAAAATGGCAGTGAAGCCTGTCCAGGAAGCCAGAAAACATTCTTTCCCCCAGCTCTCTCTGTACAATGCATGCTATGCATCCAACCCTCTCATGTTTAACATGTATTAACTCATCAGGTTCAAAGAAGATTCTAGACAGACAATTGTAGTCACAGAGAAGAGACTTACGTAACAAGACCAGGTCTTAAGATTGGAAAAAGTTCACAGCCCAGATTTCGAGGGTGGCAGTCCAATCACAGTACTGCTCTCAAAGCCAGGCTGCAAAGCATTAATGGCGTGTTTCTTCTTACACTTCAGGCAGAGTCCACAGACCGACAGAATTTCAGATCCTCGTGTTCATGATTAGCTGGAGTTATGAAAAGCTGGGACTTGAAGGGACATAGCTTATCTTCCCAACAATCAGTGATCTGTAAAGCAGAATACCTTGAGGAGCATAGGAAACCTGTGTCACTGGCCACCTTGACACTTCAAAGAGCTCAGTGCCCTTCCTGAACAGACAGGGCCCCTCTGTGGATTTGAACTGAACTACTGTTATGGAGAGTTATAATTTATGTTCCTTGAGGTGGGGAGAGCTATTTACACTGTGATTATTTCTCTTGGTCATCTAAGAAGGTTAATTTAAGAGCCCTGCTCTCAAGGCTAAACCCTAAACAAAATAGAATTTGCATCAACAGAAAGCTGATTGATTTGCTTGGCAAAGATTGTTTCTATGGCTTTAAAACAGCCAAAGAATTGTTAGGACCCTTCAATTGTAGCCCACACAGAGACTTTGATTTAGCTTCTGTGCTTCTAATTTCACAGCATTGTTACTCATTGGGGTAAATAGGAGAGGAGCAGAAAGGGAGCACTTGAGCCATTAATTCTAATTGCTACTTGGTGACTACATTCCGTGGTCTGCTGACTGAAGGGTCTGATGACTAATAGGCAATTTGCAGAGTAGTTTGGTGTCATCTATCTACTAGGACCCATTGTAGTTGTATTCAAAGAATTTGGTGGATGGTGGTAGGGGGAGTCACTGGGTCACCAGGTTCAGCTATGACCAGCTCCCCAGTAGAGCTAACACAGCAAGATGAGAGCAAAGGTGCTTCTGCCAGCAAAAGGACAAACTCTGACACTGAATAAAAGATTTCTTTAGTTCAGTTGGGCCTAGACAAGTGATCAAACAGTTAACCATTCCTGAGTGGCAAGGTGACATTCCACCAACAGCTCAATCTATGTAGTTTACAATTAGAGACCAATGAGCATATAGATTAATCCTCCGGGGTATTTTTAGAACTCCCAAGGGAGGGGTGGGATCTGTCTGGAGGCATTCTGAGTTCCTGCATAATGCTGCCAGGTTAAGTCTGGAAAGGAAAAGAAGTCTGTTAGACTGAACTGCCACAGATCTGCTACAATCAATTGTTCTGTTGATCCTTTTTGTTGTACATTTTGTCATAGAGTAAGGAGGGCTGGTTTAGACATCTTCCTTTTCATTTCTTCTTTTGAAAAAATGTGCTTTGTCTCTTTTACCTGGAAAATGAAAAATCTCCAAATTCCAGTTGCTACCTCAATGAAAGAAAATGTATTTGCTCATTAAAACTCCCATTCTCAGGGGATGTCAGATTGAGTGTTGATCTCCATTCTGGCAACAGATTAACCTTTTACTTCCCTGTGAATTCAAAGATTCTGGGTGTTCGTTTGTTACCAGAGCTGCTGCCATTCTCTCATTCAGCGGACTTAATTCATTTTTGTTTTTGCTGACTGTGGAGGTGGAATACCTGGGCAGGCTGGAGCCTGGTAGGCATTGAGTAGCTTGTGGTATAAGCAGTTAATTCCTGCACTGGACATCCAGGGCTAAGAATCTCTACTGACTGTAATAGACTGTTGGATTAGTCACAAGTTTTTAAACAATATTTTATTAATACTTTGAGAATTTTATAAAATGTGTTTTGAACATATTCCTTCTGTAATTCCAGACCCACCCCCACACCCTCACTTTCTTATAACCTTCCCACTTTGTATTCTCTTTTTGTTTCGTAAATAACTCACAGAGTCCACTTTGTGCTGCCTATATGGTATGGGGACATCCTCTGCAGTATGGTCAAACTCCAGAAGACATTCTTGCAAAGAGAACTGACTCACCCTCTCTAGAAGCTCCCAAGGCCCATAGTCCTTCAGTTAGGGGTGGAAGTTCTTTAAGTTTTGCCAAGGATGTTGCAGAAGAGATAGACCTTCATCTATGCAATAGCTCAAATGTGGAAAACAAGACTGTGCAAGTAAAATAACAATGTGTACAGCTATATATCTCCCCCAGAGTAAGAAAGGAAAAGGTGTGCATGCATGCTGTAGATTTCTTTCTTGGTCAGCCTTAGACAAAGCAAATCATCCCTTGAGAGGCTTTTGACCTCCCTTATCTCAAGTGCTAAAGTGCCAGGTGCTAAAAACCTATTTTCTTTTTCATAACCTTGGCTTGTTCAACACTTGCTTCCCTTTCAGGAGACTTTTGGTCATACAAGACTTAGATTAGCCTATAGCAAGTAGAATAGAGATGTCTAACAGTGTCTCATATCAAACAAGTGGGATTGCTTCTTGTTGTGACTTGTTCAGTTTGTACTGCAGTATTCAATGATTGCAGAGCAAGCATCTACATATACCCAGTGTTTGTTTTAAATTCCAAGGAGAAAAACACAGATGGTGGACTGTTTTGTTTGAACTACATAAGGTTTGCTTTTTTTTTTTTCAATTTAGTTAGCAACATTTAAAATCTGGAATATTTTCCATAAAAAAAAAAAAAAAGAATCTGGGAGCTGGGGAGATTTCTCAGTGGTTAAGAAGACTTGCTGCTCCTTGAAGGGACTGAGGTTTGCTTCCCAGCACCACATGGCAGCCCACAACCATCTATAACTCGAGTTTCATGAGGATTGGACACCCTTTTGTGGCTTCTGCTGTTACAAAATATGTGAAATATGCAAAGATACATGAAGGCAAACACTTATACACATAAGATAACAAAAAAAATTCTTAAAAAAGAATCTATCTATCTATCTATCTATCTATCTATCTATCTATCTATCACCATACTGTTTAAGGTCGGAAAATTTTATAAAATTAAATTCCGTGTGAAGCCCATTCGCACATGCGCACACACGCATATAAACACACACATGAGGATTAAACTTAGCTTTGGCTGCTCTGGTTGATATTGACTCTCTTGTACAGTGAGGACCCTGTTTTCATTCTTTGGTGATTTAGGCTCTCTGCATTAGGGCTCTTGGATGCAGACTTGCTAGAGCCTGGAAGACACTGACATCCCACAGGGTCATAGTGTCATGGAAGGACTTGTGAGAACACAGACTGATAGAAGAGATGAAAAGTGCCAGAGACCAGGTAGACTAGGAAGAAACACAGACAAGGCTTAACGCCAGGGACTTTGGAGTCAAAGTGGCTGCAGTTGAGTGGCCACTTAAGGATTTCATAGGGATGGGCCTCCAGGCCTCAGTGCCTTCATGTAAATGTTCAGGATAACAGATAGCACCTGCTACAGGATACTCCAGATGAGCAAGAATCCATCTCTCACTTCTAAGCTGTGGACTCACTTCTTTATTTATTGAAAGTAGTTTTTTTTTTTCAAACAATATATTCAATTATGGGTTCTCTTCTCCACCTCCTTCTAAGTCCACTCCACCCACACAAATTCACAACCTTTCTTTCATTCTTTCTCATTAGAAAACAAAGAAAAATCTAAACTAATAAAATAAGATAAAATAAAAACAGACAAACTAGAATAGGAAAAAAATAAACAGAATAAAAAAAGAGGCAGAGAAAAAAGCACAAGAAACACAGACAGAGGTACACATACAGAGAACCCATAAAATAGATAAGACTGGAAACTATAATATATAAACAAAAAGTAAGGTAAACAAATTAATAACAACAACAAAATCAAACAAAACCCCCACATTGTATTGAGTTAGCTTTCTGTTTTGTGTTGGTCATCTACTGCTGAGCATGGGGCCTATACTTAAGTTGATTGTAAACCCAGTAAAACAGCATCAGAAAAAACTCATGTTTTCTTTGGGAGCAGTTATCAATTGTAGATAACTTCTGGGTTAGGGATGGAAGCGGCTGTCTAATTCTTCTCTTAGCACTGGAACCCCATCTGGATTAGACCCATGCAGACCCTGTACATGCTGCTGCTTCATAATGTGTGTCATCCTGTTGTGTCCAGAAGGCTTTGTTTCCTGGTTGTCTTCCATCCCCACTGGCTCTTCTTCCACATAGTTCAAGTTCCAAGGTCTCTGATTCTCTGCACATTGTAAAGTTATGGGTTTGGGTTTCTGCATTTGTTCCCATCTATTGCAGAAGGAAGCTCCTCTGGATCTGGCCGAGCAACACATGGATATATGTGTACAGCAGCATGCCATTGAGAACCATTTTATGGATATATTCCTTTAGCAGAACAGTGGTATTTGGTTTTTTCATAAGTCCATGGCCTACCTACTTTCAGGTTTTTGATCACCTGAGCAGTGACTGGAGTGTTTCATCTCATTGAGTGGGCTATCCAATTGGTTACTCTCATGACTTCGTGCTTCAGTACATCTTGCAGAGAGGGCACCATTATAGATTCTAAGGTTTGTAGCTGGGTTGCTGTTTACTTCTGCTTGGTGTTTCTCCTCTGGTAATATGAAGAGTGCCTTCTAGTACCATGAACAGCAGGGGTAAAGGCTCTAGGTAGGTGCCTCCTTAACTTCTCTGTTTTCAATGAGTTGTGTGGATGTTATGTCTATTAATAAGGCCTTATCATCAGTTTGTGGAGAACAACCACAAACTGGCAATAGCTTGGGTTATTTGGGGCTTTTGATGGGGCCTCTTTAGCTACAACTCAATTATATGCAGCCCATTCCTAGCAATGGAGGCTTTATTTGTTGTTGAGAGAAGTCTAGTTGAAGTTTTGCATTTTATGTTATTTGAATATTCCATTTAGATTTCTTTCAAATATGTATATATTTTAAGAAGTTTCTGCTATATTTTAAGTTTCCATATGACCCCTCAAATGGCCCTCAGGTTTAGCTGTATTTCCCTGTATTTCCTTCTTTATCTTCTTTACATTTTCCCTTCCCACTCCCCATTTGGTCCTCCTGTTCTAGTCCCTCTTCCATATATCTGTTATACAATGTTATATTTAATAACTATCAATTCTGTTTTTCCTTTCTAGAGAGAGTTTTCCCTCACCCTGCTAGTCCCTATCCTCTATGATTATACAGATTATAGCCTGCTTATCAAAGACTTAAGAGCTATGTTTTTCTTTTTGAGTCTGGATTACCTCACTCAGGATGATATTTTTTTTAACTCTATCTTCTGTGGATTACATGATTTCATTGTTTTTAACAGTTGAGCAATATTTCATTGTGTAAGTAAATGTACCACATTTTCTTTATTCATTTATTCATTGACATCGAGGATATTTTCAATTTCTAGCTATTATGAATAGAGCAGCAATGAAAATGGCTGATCAAGTGTCTCTATAGGATTTAGAGTATTTGGGTATATGCCCAAGAGTAATATAGTTGGATCCTGAGGTAGATATACTTCCAGCTTCCTGAGGAACCACTGCATTGATATCCATATTGGTTGTATACTACACTTACTTCTTGAATGACATTTCTGCAGATGAAAAAGAGAGGGGGAGCATATTGTATCATCTGGGTTGTTGAAATAGGCCTGCCCTAGGGGAAGGTCTGTCTACAGAGTCCATTTTGTCTGATTCTGTGGAAGACGTCGTCTGACTTCTGTATTCTGAGCAAGTCAGCTGAGACTGAGCCCTGCAGCTTCTGCTGCAAACAGTCACTCTTGTCTCTTTATATATTGCACATTTGATTTTAAAAGTATATTTAACATATTCCTGTTTAATTCCTGCCATGGCAACTTGTAGTTTGCTTTTGCCACTTTGTGGGTTCTTCTTTTTCTCATTTTTTATTCCCCTACACTCGATAAGAGAGAAAGAAGGATAGGGGTAGGGAAGAAAACCTTGAATAAATTTCCTTCTTGTTTCTTCTTTGAGCCTGACTACTAACAAACTGCAACCACCTGGCCCCTGAATGAACATCAACTACCAACACCCTGCCTTAGCATTTATATATCCTCTGAAAAGCTCCCAAAATTTCAAACATCACACAATTGTAGAAACTGTATGCAGCCGGCAAAACAATGCCTCTGGTGGAACACTAGGCAAATCATAGTCAACTTCTGTGAACAATCTAAAGCATCCCCATATCCCCATGTCTGGGATTAAAATAAAAACATATTTCTTATAATATTTCTATGTTTTTTTTAAAGGAACCAAAATTCTAGAGTTGTCACTTCATCAACTATTGCATGGAGCTTTTCCAGGGGACTAGTGGTGACAGAGCAAGAAGAAGCCATGATTCCAAAGTTAACAGGAGGATTCACTTCACACCAGAAACTGCTCACAGACTTTACTGTGATGGAGCAGATCACACCCTTAGCATAGTCACTCTGGCATACCCTGGATGTTTGCCACCTCTGATCCCCTGAGAGACATGGTAGATACTGCACACAGGGCTATGCTGAGATTGGCATGATGAACCCACTGGCCCATGTGATCCTTTGGATAGTATGTGTCTCTGGGCCTCTTTCTCCCCCACCCACAATGTAAGTAACTGTGTGGCAGGGTATGCAACTGAAACAAGGAGTCCTGGTGTGCACCCAATGCAGATGCTTTTAGGAATTGGTTGTGTTTGTGTGTGTGTGTGTGTGTGTGTGTGTGTGAGAGAGAGAGAGAGAGAGAGAGAGAGAGAGAGAGAGAGCTAATAGAGTCAGTCTGTCAATCTGAGAGGTTATCTAGTATGTTTGCCTAAACACATTTCTCTGAAAACAATTCAAATGGCTGAGTGGTGCCTGTAGCTTTACACCTCTTCCTTAGTGGGGCTGACAGAATTCAGGCAGGAAAGAATAGCATCTTGGTTTTTCTGTGGGTTGCTTCTGTCTCAGAGAATGATAAGCCTGAATTGAGGTAGGTGACTGAGGAGACCTTGGAGCCATGGTGAGCTCCTGTGAAAATGCCCTCTTTCAAGGTACTGGGTCCTGGTTCTAAGGTACTGTATTGGCCCCTTCAGGGCACTAGCACTTTCTAAGAGGACAGCTAAGGAGTGAAAGCTCCTGTGGGAGAAGCCGAGGCTTCAGTAAAGCTCTACAAGTGAGGGAGGGGCTTCTCATCTCTTCAGTCATCTAATGGGATCCACAATTTGAAGACTAGATAGGTCTGTTCTCGGTAGTTCTGGGGATCCTTCAGGGGCCATCATGTCCCTCTGTAAGGTACAGAGAAACTAGACAATGCTATGCTGTAAGTGCTTAGTCAAAATTTGATAATTCTGTGTAGTGGACCTCTGTCAGTCCCTTCTGAAGTAATTTATCATGATGTTGTCCACTAAAATGCTAAACAGATAAAGACTTTGCTAAGTATCTCATAGAGAGAACCTGTGAGCAGAGAGTGGACATCTCAAGGCTGAAAGGCTGGCTGTTGGGTATTCTTCTGCCCAGCAGGATGCCGGGAGCAAGTCACAACATAGCTCTCAAGCTGAGGAAACATTTGAATAATCTGTTCATCAAAATAGCAGCCAGAGGACAGTGACAACTGTGATCATAACTTTCCAGTAACATGGAAAGAAATTAAATCCCTGTCTGTATTCACTGTGCTGTGGTGGCTTAAATGATCGGTTATCCCACATGCATCAGCTGTAAGTTAGCCACTCCATTATGTGAATGAAAATCAGCATATTAAATTCTGTTTCAAATTGCTTTGTCTAATCAGTAAATACAACTGAGTCATTAACTAGTGTGAACTAATTATGTGCCTTCCATTTTTCTGGAAGCACATTTAGGAGCAAGTGAAATTGAGGGGGACAGGATCTATCAAGTTTTCTTTGAAATCTTCTAAAACCATTGCCAGATCTCTGCAAACCCTTCTAGAAAGAAGTTAAAATTCTTTCTTCTGACCCCTGCACCCCATCAAAAAATATGTGGTTAGTTAACTCTGTAGAGAAATTTGCATCAATGGTGAAACCAGTCAAAAAGCAATAATATCCCTGGAATAGTCACAGGTTCACATTTGTGTTCAGAACTGACTGTTGCCTCTGGGATTCTCTCTCCACTGTGATATTCTCAGCTTTTAAATTTGTCTCACCTTTTCCCTCTAAAATAAACAAAGGAATCAAACTGTCTCACCCCCGACCTTAGTGTTCTGTAGTGCACTGTGCATTTTGATGTGGCAGTTTCTCCATTCATGTACAGTCTGTGCTTTTCTTGTCTAGGTCGAGTGCAGATGCTGCCTCAGGCTGTGTGTCTCCTGCACGCGCTTCTGGAGAATGGACACACAGTGTATGTCCACTGCAATGCTGGGGTGGGCCGCTCCACAGCTGCTGTGTGTGGCTGGCTCCACTACGTGATTGGCTGGAGTCTGCGGAAGGTGCAATACTTTATCATGGCCAAGAGGCCTGCAGTCTACATTGATGAAGACGCTTTGGCCCAAGCACAAGAAGACTTTTTTCAGAAGTTTGGGAAGGTTCACTCTTCCATATGCAGTTTGTAGGTGACCTGCCTGCCTCCCCTTTGAGTTGCCTTATGGAACCTGGGGGTGTGTTAGTGGAATACCTAGAGACTAAGACCCCATCTGAGCTGAGAAGACTGCGGCCCTCATGTCACCTGGGGATACCTTCTATTGCAGCTTGGCTGGGCTTAACTTTGAAACATTTTACAAAGGAACCTGCATGCCACATGAAAAAAATTCAAAGTCAGTGGGGCCGTGCAATGTATGCCTGTATTTGCTGCTGCCACTGGCTGGGGCCTCTGCTGACAAACTCTGGATAGGTTGTTATGGATTTGTGACTTTTTGACATTCAGAAGACAAGAGAGTGGATAAGCAGATTTTATCATTACTGTGAGAGACACACACTGCATGTGCACACACACACAAACACCAACTTTTTTACTGAACTGAAATTACAGTTATTTGCCAGTGGAAGGGATAAATATATAAACGTGCATATGACACAAAAAGATCTCACCATGGTCATAAAACAGTGCCTTTCTGTAATTTCCTTTGTCCCATTTTATAGTTGTTAACCTCTTCAAGATTCCACCCTCCTAATTTTCCTGTCCTCTCAACATGGCTGGAGTAGTAGAGTTAGCTCTCTGCTTTTTCTTATCTTTGTATTGCTATTTATTTTCTTGAGACAGTTTGTACTGCTCAGTTTAGTATAATACACAAAGGTTTGCCTTGAACTCCTGGTATTCCTCCTGTGCCAGCCTCCTGAGAACTGGGATTAAAGGTGCATGCTACCATACTTAGCAGCACCATTTTTTAGCTGAGGTTTATTGAGCATAGCTGGCTTTCCCAGCCCTAATGGTGAGTAGGGGTGAGATGAAATTGGTAATTTAATTTATTTGGCTCAGTGCTGCTTTCAGTGCAATTAGTTTCAGCACACTGTCATGGATGCAGCTTTTGTCTTTCTGGGGTAAAGTCACTACCCAGCAGTTGTTTCTGCAGTGAGAAGTGGGACAGTGTTCTGATCAGTTGCCAAAGAATCTAGGAATACAGTTCTATTTTGTTCAACCTACTTTAAACTGTGGTGTGTGATCTCAAAGCCATGGTTATCTGAGCCATACTTCTCCAGAGGAAGAAGCCTGAAGAGGCCATGTCCACAAATCAGTGTAATACAGAAGCTGACCCTGGCTCAATATAACTCAATATAACACATGATTGCTAGTCCTCCCAAATTTGTGCTTTATTCCGTTAGACTTTATCAGAAGTACGAATGTCAGCCAAACTTTGCCCCGTAAGATACAATCTAGAATCAGACCTATGCTCCATCCTTTGGAAGACCAGTCCCCAGGTAAGAATGGCATCTTAAGGGAACAGAAGGGGGTTTCTCTCTAGTTGAGTGCCACTCTGTGCCAGCTACTTCCCTAACTCTAATGCTATCACAGCTCCCTCCGGGGAAGGTCATTGTTTCTGTTCAGACCAGGAAGTTGAGACCCAGAGAGGTTATAGCACAGGTCCATTTTCCTTGTCCTGGATGGAGCCCATGGAATGAGATGCAAATCTAGGTTTGTCTCTCAAATTTCATATCGTCAAGAGTTAAACTGTGATGCTTACGTATGTTCTTTTCCTTATTTTTAATTTTTTTTCACTTTTTAAAAATTTATAATTTTATAAATTACAGATTATTCACTTTGTATCCCTGTTGTAGCCACCTTCCTCATCCCCTCCCAATCTCACCCTCCCTCCCTCATCTCCTCCCATGCCCCTCTCCAAGTCCACTGATAGGGGAAGTTCTCCTTCCCTTCCCTCTGACCCTAGCCTGTCAGGTATCATCAGGAGTGGCTGAATTGTCTTTCTCTATGGCCTGGTAAGACTGCTCCTCATCAGGGGAGGTGATCAAAGAGCCAGCAACTGAGTTCAGGTCAGAGACAGTTCCTGTTCCCATTACTAGGGAACCCGCTTGGAGATTGAGCTGCCATGGGTTACATCTGTGCAGGAGTTCTAGGGGTACTAGGTTATTTACATGCATGGTCCTTGGTTAGAGTATCAGTCTCAGAAAAGACCCCTGTGCCCAGAATTTTTTGATCTGTTGCTCTCCTTGTAGAGCTCTTGTCCCCTCCAGGTCTTTCTATCTCACCCTTCTTTCATAAGATTCCCTGCACTCTGCCCAAAGTTTGGCTATGAGTCTCAGCATCTTCTTCAATGCCTTGCTGGGTAAAAGTCTTTCAATGGCCCTCTGTGGTGGGCTACTGTCTTATTGCCTGTTTGCTCCCTCTTCTGTTGTCCATCCCCTTTGACTTTGATCATCTTACCCAGGGTCCTCCTCCTTGCTCAGATTCTTTAGGTGTATAGATTTTAGTATGTTTATCCTATATTTTATGTTTAATATCCACTTATAAGTAAGTATATTCCATGTGTGTCTTTCTGCTTCTGGGATGACTCACTCAGGATGATCTTTTGTACTTCCCACCATTTGCTTGCAGATTTCATGATTTCCTTGTTTTATAATCATGTGTTAATAGATAGTAGAGATGGTGATTTGGGAGGCAGAGGGGACAAGAAGGCCACAGCATAGGGAGAGATGTCACAGTGTGGCATTTGTTTTGGGCAAAACGACATACAAGAAACAGTTCTCCTGTAATCTGACAAAGTAAAGTCTATAAATCAGTATCAAATGACACCCGTCCTCTGCTATGAAATATAGCTGGATATGGCTATTGTGTCTAAGAACCAGTATTTAGTCATGTATATGTAAATTTAATTTTAAATGGAATATTTTAAACTAATATAATGGCGTCTATGCTCGTCTCTGTGTGCTTGTGTATGAATTTTCTTAATGTCCTAAGAAATCTAGCTATATAAGTTCCACTGTACAATGGTCTCTTCCAGGTGGCATCTTCTCTGTGGCTCTGATAAATAAAATTGTTTATCACTATTGAACATTTTAGAATGACCCCAATTTGCCCTCATTGAGTGGATTGTCCAATATGTCTCAAAATCACCTGGAACCTTTGCTAAATAAAAGCATTAAAAAAGACCTTTTGCACACAGTTGTTTTAATGCTGTCAATTTACTCTGTAATCTAGAAGAACATAGTGGATTTTTTTATTATTATTGTAAGAAGAGCAATCAACTCAGCAAAACTGCTTTTTCTTTGTTGTCTTGTCTCATTAACCTATGAGAAAGCTGACAAGTCAAAGGTAGAAGCACCACAAAGAAGTAAAATGAAACTCAAGAAAGTTTGGGAGAAGACCACGGAAGATCTTGTCTCAAGCAACTCTCATTGGACACTTTTTTGGGGGGAGGGGTGAATGGGGGTGATGGGATGGAACCCATGACCTCATACATGCTAAGGCACCCTGTACGCTGAACTATACCTCTAGCTCAATGAAAGTCTTCATGCACAATATTTGCACAGGAAATCACAAGAAGAACTCATCCTTAGTTAAGGAACACTGAGGTACCATTACTTTCTTTCAGACTTCAAAAATACCCTTCTTTTATTTTGTGGACCAAAACTGTTTAAAAGAAAAAAAAATAACAAAACATAAAAATACCTCTGCAAAGCTTTTCAAAAAAAAGGTGACTATTATTATATTCTGACTGTTGTGTTCATTTAGTTTTTATTGACAAATACCTTTCTTTCCCTTTTTTGTGTTGCTTTTATGTTCTGGCAATCATGCTTCCTTTTTTTCTTCTGCAATAAGGTGTAGTCGCCCGTGACCACCAATAGTAACTGCGTGCACAAGGGTCTAGGAATTAAAAGAGAAAACACAAAGAAGTGACACCAGGACAGTGCTTTGATCAAGGTGCCATCTTTATTACAGAGTAAACCACTTATACAGGTTTCCAAGTAAACATATCCAAGCAAAACAGGAAACGTAACCAAGCAAAACAGGAGGTGTCTGCTGAAAACAAGAATAGTGAGCCAGCATAACTTGCATGCACGTGACCATCTCAGGTCCAATGGAATGACTACCTCAGTTCCCCCTTTTTTGTTTATGACCAAAGACTCATAAGGCTTCTTTTCTTTTAATATAATAATAATTATGAAATTATGAAAACTGTTACCTATGTGTATTTAGCAACTTAGGAGAAAGTATCTGATTATTCTATCTTGACAAGTTTAGAGTTCTATACCTAAATTAACTTTTATCCTTATTGGTATTACCTACATGAAAGGATGTCTTAACTTCTAAACAACCTAACTTTAATTGTGGCACTATGACTATTTGGTCTTCAACCCTACCAGAGACTTGAAAAGGAATAAAATTAGTTGTTAGAGTAAATAGGAAGTGAATGTTAGCAGCTTCCAAAAAATAAAAATTGACACAGACTGCTGCCTGAACAGTCACCCATAACTGTTTATAACGTTGGAGCATCATCTTCAGCCTTCTGGCTCAGAATATTTGACAGACATATATGTGAAGCAGGAACTATTTAGGACTTGCTTACCCTGTCTTGGCAGAGTTTGGCAGTCAACTTGTCCTGCATTTAAGCTTGCCCATTTTGGCAGAATTTGTCATGAAGTGAGGGTATTTTCTTTACCCGAGTGGCTTGTTTGCCACATCTTAAGCCATCTCCATATGGAGGTTCTTCGATGCTCATTATCTTCTTTGAGGTAGGTGGGGTGCTGCCAGGTGATGACCTGTATCATTGTCAAAGAATCTTTAAAATAATAAAGATACTTTTAAATGCCATATTCTGTAGGTCTCTGAAGTTTTTGAAGACTACCTATCTTTATATAATCGATCTGACCACGAAAATTATATCTATCTGTTAAACCTAGGATATATACTCCTGCAATAAAGTGGACTAGTGTCTGACATGACTATGAGTCGAATAACTAGCAATTAACTTTCATTACCTAATACCCTAACCTGTTTTTAATAGCTGTTTAAAAGTATTGAAAGTAACCTTGACTTTCTATCAATATCCTAAAGCTTATACCAATGTATCAAAAATACTTATTTTTTCATCAATATGCAGAATTCTGTACCATAGTTAAAATTAACCTTATTTGGGAACAACAAATAAAACCTTAAGTTGAGTAGATTTCTATTAGATATCCCTGTATATTCCTTGTTTCACTCTGAATAAGATCACTAACAATTACAAACATCTCCCAATGACAATAAACATCCATAGCCACAGAGAACAACCAAAAACCTACCCAACCCCCTTTAAGGAAAATTGAACGTCATTCTCATGAATTTCTTCTAGCTGACATTTTGGGCACATAGAAATCCTATAATGGGCCCAAAGAAAATTGGGAAAAAATAGTTAGTTAAGCAAGCAATAACATTTGTGGTCCAGTCTTTGAATGTTGAGAAATTTCAGGCTTAATACAAGTCCTGTTTGGAACAGTCTAAAATGCAGGACCAATTAAGATTAGTAGCTTTTTTCAAAGTTCTTTTGGGACCAGGCTTTGACGAGAAACAGCAATTGAAGCAATTGAGGCAGGAATAAGCAGAATGCTGGAACACGCAAGATGTTCCTGGCAGGAATCAAAAGGTCAGGGCTGTCCTTTTTGTAAAAGGTCCTGAGCCCATCGTGGTGGATTCATTTGACCCCAGAGGCAGTGGCAGTTCACCAAGGCAAGGGACAGAAGCCCAAAGGTCCAACTTAGCGGTCCCTGGACAGGTCATCATTAACAGGGATATTGGCATCAGCAACTGGAGAGGTCTCCAAAGATTTGATGTTGTCCACTTGAACACACCAACCTTTCCAGTAGCCAGTGGGCAGCATCATTTTCCTGTGAGAAAGCACAAATAGATCCTCTTCCCCAAATAAGTACAGGGTTGGGTCCATGCCATCAGTTGGTGGCATTGCAGAAATGGAAGAAGACTTGGGATGCCAATAATGTTCCACTGCAGATTTACCTTCTTTATCCACTTGTAAGAAGTTGAAAATGAAAAGAACATAGTCAAGGTGAGCTCTGGGGGACTTATGTGGATATAGCTCCCCCATCTTTGTTTTAGACAGATGATTTTTGATCATCAAATGTAGCTCTTTCTACTATACCTTGACCCATAAGACTATAAGGTATGCCAGTTTTATGTATTATAGCAAATTGTTTACAAAAGTGTGCAAAAGTTTTGCTTGTATATCCAGAACCATTGTCTGTTTTAACTTCTGTTGGAACATTAAAAATGGAAAAAATGTATATAAGCAATGGGCCATGATATGATGGGTGGATTCACCAGATTGCATGGATGCTAATAAAAACCCTGAATAAAGGAGAGCAACAGAACAAGATAATTTGAACACAGGGAACTTCTCAGAGACTCATACTCCAACCAAGAACTATTCGTGGAGATGACCTGGAACCCCTGCACTGGTGTAGCCCATGGCAGTTCAGTGTCCAAGTGGGTTACATAGTAATGGGAAGAGGGACTGCCTCTGACATAATCTGATTGGCCTGCTCGTTGATCACTTCCCCCTGAGGGGGGAGCAGCCTTACCAGGCCACAGTAGAGGACAATGCAGCCACTTTTGATGAGAACTGATAGACTAAGATCAGAAAGGAGAGGAGAACCTCCCCTATCAGTGGACTTGGGGAGTGGCATGCATGCAGAAAGGGGAGGGAGGGTGGGATCTTGAGGGGAGGAGGGAGGGGCTTATGGGGGGATACAAAATGAATAAAGTGTAATTAATAAAAAATTAAAAAAAAACCCTGAATAAGTATCAACTGTAACATGAATATATTTTAATTTATCAAATTCAGGATAATGAGTAACATCCATCTGCCATAACTGTCCAGGGACAAGGCCCCTGGGATTTATCCCCAAATGAGACACGGGAAGGAGTGGGACACAGGTCCCACAATTTTTTAACTATAGTTCTGGCTTGTTCCCTGGTTATATTATATTTTAATCTTAAAGTTATACTATTAAGATGATGTAGGTTGTGGGCTTCTATAGCTTTATCCAATTGACTGTAAAAGACATAGGAGGCAAGTGCATGATCTATTTTTTTCATTGCCATTACTTAAAAGTCTAGGTAATCTGGTATGAGCTCTAACATGTCCCACAAAAAATGGAATATTGCGGGACTGTGTGCAATATTGAATTTGAACAAATAATTGACTAGCTCTAGTAGTCGGTAGTATTTGACCTGCTGTTTCTAGTTTTAAAAGCACTTCACATGCATAGGCACTGTCAGTAAATAAGTTGAAGGGTTGAGGAAAATGTTGAAAAACAGCCAGTACAGCAACTAGCTCTGCTAGTTGAGCTGATAATACTTTCACATCAAAAACAGTACTTTCACCTTGGGTGTAAAATATCCAGCTTGGCCTTTGTCAGAGCCATCAGAAAAAGTAGTGAGTACATTTTCCAAAAGGGAAAGTCAGGTGCATTTGGGAAATACCACATAATGTCTATTAAAGAATTGAATCAACTTATCTTGAGGATAGTGATTATCAAGTTGTCCTACAAATCAAGCCAACACCAGAAACCATTCATCCGAATTAGCATAAAGCCATTCTACTTGTTGTTTGCTATAAGGAACAATAATAAACTGAGGTTCAGAGCCGAAATACATAATAGATTGTTTTCTTCCTGACACAATAATTGCAGCAATGGCTCATAGTATGGTAAAATAACTTTATTAGGGCTGGAGGGCAAATGTATCCAAAGAATGGGTGCCTTTTGCCAAATTAATCCAGTTGGAGTATAAGAGGTATTAAATATAAGCAAATACAGAGGGGACTCAGGGTCCCAGAATATTACAAAGTGCTGTTCCATAGCTCTCTGCAGAATTCAAGGCTTGTCTCCCCTGGGATATCAAAGAGCGAGGGAAAGCAGTTGAGGAATCCCCTTTTAAAATATCAAACAAAGGCTTAAGTTCTCCTGTAGTGAGTTCTTTGAGCCAATTGATGTCCCCTACCAATGTCTGAAAATCATTCAAAATTTTTAGAGAATCTAACCTGAAGTGTACCTTTTGACAAAATATCTGTTTAGGGGATAGACTGAATCCTAAATAACTGTAAGGATCTCTTGTTTGTACCTTTTCAGGTGCTATTTATAATCCCCTCTGT